GAAACATGGTATACTTAGCCATTTTTGTCTTTCTTGTGAAAAGGCCTCTCTTTTAGGTCTCTCGGTTGAGCCAAACTCAAGCCCGTATTCGAAGCAGAATTAATTTGGATCCTTTCCCTTAGAGGTACTACAATATCGTATACATAGCAGATATGTCTAAGTCGTTTCTCGATTAGGTTACCAGAGTAAAGGGGACAAAATGCCACCTTGCAGTGAGCCGCACAATACCCTTTTCTTGATAGTTATATTTTACACCTCGCAACTTTTCCATCTGTTCCCTAGCATGTAGTTTATCCAGTTACGGAGCACCCGGTGAACATAAAACTGGTCAAAGGATCAGTGTGCACGTTATTGAAGGCGAATTCGATGTCAATGCATACCGCCAGTGTATACAGTTCGCTTTCGAAGGATTCTCCTATATAGTAGACAAATTCCTTTAACGCGGTATCAACCGATATTTGTCTGGTGTACTGCTTTTAACCATACTATCGACTATCCGTTCTATGTGGGCACCGTCTTAGGTATTATTGTGTCGGAATTTCAAATATACGCTCGTTAGCCAGTTTACTACCCCATCATTTTATGTAGACAGTGGACTTTAAGGGCACCGGAAGAACCCTCTTTATTACCAGTACCATCTTAGCGCCGTCCCAGGGAGGGATTGGAATTTTGGCTTTTGTATTACTTACATCGTATACTGCATAGAAGAGATCCTACCGGTGTCTTGTTTTGGCAACTTTGGCATAAGAGGGCCTCGTTTTTAAGGCTTCTTTCGAGATACCGTTACTTTCGAGTTTTCGGAATATCTAGCTAGGCGTTGTCAACCTTATTCGCAGGATTCTGACTTGAGGTTCGTTGAGTGACAGGGAACTCTTTTTCTTCCTAGATTTATTCTCAGTTATCAACTCCTCGGGAGATCTGTTCCACTTCACCTCAGATATTGAGAGGGAAACTAATATCTACTTTGGAGTGTCGTGGTTTTGATACACCGATTTCCTGAATTATCTTATTCAACTTCCTCCTCTCTGCTCCAGAAAGCCGTATTTTAGTAAAAGGTAGTTCTATGCTATCACTCACCTCTTTCACCATTTTCTCTACTTCTACCTTTGTAGTGTGGTTATTATCATCTGAGGATTCAGAGTCGAAATTCTCAAAATGTTGACAGAGAGCTTAGAGCTCTCTCGGAATACAGTAGCGTGTTAGCGACCAGTAGCGTGCACACAAAATTTGCACGGACACACAGACCGAAGAGCGGTCATTGCTTAATCGACTCTGAGCCTACAAAAAAGTTGGGTATTACAGACAACTGCACAAACGCATAATACCTTACCCTATTGAACTTATAAAGAAAATGTTGAAATTGCACAAAAAAAAAACCATATTGAGTCCGTTGCTAGGTCCCCAGTGGTTAGCCAAGCTTTGGCAGCTCAGAACACAACTTTATAGACACAAATCAGGTCAGTCTAAATATCAACAATATACCGTATAGCGCTCGTTGATTGTCGTAAGCCACACTTTGGCTGATCAGAACAAAATTTTATTGGCACAAATCAGGTCATTTCAGACATCAACAATCTCCCGCATTGCTGCCCTTTATACGTCCGCTGTCGTTAGCCAAACTTTGGTAGCTCAGAATTCATCTTTATTGGCTCAAATCCCTGTAACTGTTTGGATTTATTCAACTGCCATATTCATTGGTGCAGGTTCTGCAATATTCGGTATTGTTATAACATTCACTAATAGAATCCATATAATTTATAATCGAATTCACAGAAAAAATTTAAAATGAATTTCAATTATGAAATTGCTCACATTAATTAAAAAATGTTTTGATTTCGCTCTAATCATGAAAATGATACTATTGATTAACTAATAATTGAAAATTTTAATTGGAAAATAAGTGGCAAAAATTCAATTAAAATAATATTAATGTAATTAATTATTAATTGGATTCGGTGGCATATTTCGAAAAATGTTTGATTAATTTGATTAAATCCGTATTAATTTTTTTTCAATATCGATTAGAAAATTAATTATACCAATTCAGAGTTATGTATATGCGGAAAAGCATCTGCAATAAAAATATTCATATTTTTCTCTAATTGCTGTGTATGTATTGGATATACATAACTTTTTGAAATACCAGCAGTATGTGTGTATGTATGTATGTATGTATGTATGTATGTATGTATGTATGTATGTATGTATGTATGTAGTTATGTATGTTGTCTGTAGTATGTCATGTATGTATGTCTGTATGTATGTATGTATGTATGTATGTCTGTTGTATGTATGTAGTCTGTATGTTTATGTATGGTCTTATGTTCTGTTGTATGCAATGTATGTATGTCTGTAGGTCTGTATGTATTAATTATGTATGTATGTTATGTATGTATTATGTATGTATTATGTACGTCTGTCTGTCTGTCTGTCTGTCTGTCTGTTATGTATGTCGTATGTCGTCTGTCGTCTGTCGTCTGTATGTGTCTGTATGTCTGTCTGTCTGTATGTATGTCTGTGTCTGTCTGTCTGTCTGTCTGTCTGTATGTCTGTGTCTGTCTGTCTGTCTGTCTGTCTGTCTGTCTGTCTGTTGTCTGTCTGTCTGTATGTCTGTCTGTCTGTCTTCTGTCTGTCTGTCTGTCTGTCTGTCTGTCTGTCTGTATGTCTGTCTGTCTGTCTGTCTGTCTGTCTGTCTGTCTGTCTGTCTGTCTGTCTGTCTGTATGTCTGTCTGTCTGTCTGTCTGTCTGTCTGTCTGTCTGTCTGTTGTCTGTCTGTCTGTCTTGTCTGTTGTCCTGTCTGTCTGTCTGTATGTCTTGTCTGTCTTGTCTGTCTGTCTGTCTGTCTGTCTGTCTGTCTGTCTGTATGTTGTCTGTCTGTCTGTCTGTCTGTCGTTGTCTGTCTGTCTGTCTGTCTGTCTGTCTGTCTGTCTGTCTTCGTCTGTCTGTCTGTCTGTCTGTCTGTCTGTCTGTCTGTCTGTCTGTCTGTCTGTCTTCTGTCTGTCTGTCTGTCTGTCTGTCTGTCTGTCTGTCGTCTGTCTGTCTGTCTGTCTGTCTGTCTGTCTGTCTGTCGTCTGTCTGTCTGTCTGTCTGTCTGTCTGTCTGTCTGTCTGTCTGTCTGTCTGTCTGTCTTCTGTCTGTCTGTCTGTCTGTCTGTCTGTCTGTCTGTCTGTCTGTCTGTCTGTCTGTCTGTCTGTCTTCTGTCTGTCTGTCTGTCTGTTGTCTGTCTGTCTGTCTGTCTGTCTGTCTGTCTGTCTTCTGTCTGTCTGTCTGTCTGTCTGTCTGTCTTATGTCTGTCTGTCTGTCTGTATGTATGTCTGTCTGTTGTCTGTATGTCTTCTGTCTGTATGTCTGGCCCTATATGCCTCCTCATACCTGTCCCTTTCCCCTTTTTCACTTTTTCCATCGCTATCTTTTTTAAAACGGACCTCATTTAAAAGTCCTTAATAAAAGAAACATATTGAATGCATACACCTTAGACTGACCGGATCTTATATGGGGAGAAAAAAATGTCGGAATCTTGTTCGTCTGAACCCACAAAATGATTCCCCCTTCCAGATATTGAGATTTGAGCTCGATTAAATGACGTTAACACGTGCCGCTCGTCGCTCAAAGTTTGAAAAAATTCAAATTTTTGGCAAAAATGCTAACATATAAGCTATAGAAACACGCTTAGTACCTCAAACCGAAGCTAATATTGTGCGTTAAAGGGTTAATTTTATGTTTTTTCGTTGTTATTTTATATGGCCAACAAATAAATAATTTTTTGATATGTATCAATGAGAATTTCCAAATATTGCAAAATTTGACCTCCAAAGTTTACGACTTAGGATTTCACGATTTATATGTATATAACTTCAAGGACATATTTTATATTATCTAAGACAATATTCCGTAAAGATTTTGTTTAAAATGTATAACTGTAAAGAATTAGGACATATATTCTAAAATATTACAAAAAAAAAATAGTTTACACCTAATTTTTTTCACTGTTTTATTCCCTAATCTATTGACCATAAATCCATAAAAATTTTAAAACTTGTTTAACAAAGATTTTAAAAACTGAAAATGGAGTTTTGAAACTGCCGTGTAAAAGAATATTTTTTTTTATCATAGCTGAGAACAGGTTCACGATATCTTTTAAGGACAAAAACTTATAACCGAGTAAATATAGATATATTTTATGTAATAAAATAGTTTTATTAGAATATTTTTCAAAATAGGTTAAATTTTTTCCACATTTCCTAATCAAGTGCTCTGAGACACGTTAAAGGCCTGGGGAATTTTTAATAACTTTTACATTTTCCAACCAATTTTTGTGTTTTACATCTTTTTGAAATACTTAATCTATGTACATTATGAATCTTTAACAACGGTTAGGTTAGGTTGATAGGAGGATGTATACTTCATCAAATCCTAAGAAATACACCTAGGCCACTATCGGGCCTGTTGTGCGCTCCTTTTCATGAAAAAAAATGTTCACTGAATGAATTATTTTTCAGTGTTCAGAAACTCAGTTTCCTGGACGTAATTCATAAGAATCTTCCAATCAGTGTTAGTCAGGAATGTTATTTCCAATAATATGTAAAATATTTAACTAATGGCTACATTTATCACATAATATCAAAATATACGAAGTATGCTCCTACCGCGACCAGGTCACGTTTTTGGAGACAAAATCTGTTGTAACTCTGTTTGACTTAAAGTAACATGACGAGCGGCACGTGTTAACGTCTTTTAATCGAGCTCAAATTTCGGCTATCTCAATATCTAGAAAGGGGAATCATTTTGTGGGGTTAAGACAAATAAGATTCCAACATCGACTTTTTGCGGTCGCTCTAATATACATATAATGTGTGTGGTAAATTTCATTAAAATTGGAGATAACAATCCAACAGCTGTCCAATTTCACATAAATTCTTTAATTAAAAAAAAATTAAATAAAGTAAATAATTAAACTTGAAATAACTTGTTAATCAATTCAAATAAATATTTTTTTTTAGAATGTTACACCACACGTTTACTCGAGTTCCATAGCACAATGCACACTTCCGCGGCATACAAACCAGCATTTGTGGACAAACTACAATAATATATTAACAGGAGTAGGACACATGCAGCCAATTACAACAATGCATCAACAAACACTGCCAACAACATCCAATATGAATCAAGTTCCAACGCATTCAGAGCAGCACAATTCTTCCTCAGCAGTTAATGTAATCCAAGCAGCTAATATGTCATCAATGGCTAGTAGGACACATAATTTCCAGCCAGGAATTCAACAAATCCATCGAGCCAGAGTTTGTGTCGACATGGGTAGCAGTGGTATTCATACTATGGAGCCCGCATGCCTTTCGGACGAAGAAGTAACAGCCCAAACTCCGCTTATGATGAAACGCGAAAGTACAGTATGACTATAGGATTCTCACAGGGTTACCGACACAGCCCTGTGACATCATATTAGACTAGGTATTGACACTAATTGCGAAATTGTACACACCGAACCACCAGATTATGTATAAATTAAAACAATCTTCAGATAATTATATTAAATATAACTCAGGATTTGTTTATGTTTACAACAGAAGAAAATGAAGTGTCAAATTATATTCATAATAAACGAATAACAACCATTATCCTGCAAAATGATTGTAAGTTTCGAGAAGTGTAGTAAAAAAAAATATAGTTTCTTTACTGTAATATGTAAAAGGGTATTGGGTAATAATCTAGCAGAATCAGGGATGGAATCCAAAAAATGATACCTTAAAATATTTGAATAATTTCCTATTAGGTCCTGCATACGAATTTTCCCATTTAATGTGTATCCTATTTTCTAAAATCCCAAAGCATGCAATTTTGAATGTAATATATGAAATATGTATGTATTATGAAATATTATTTCTGTAAATGTATGAAATATGGAATGGTGTCAAATGTGGTTAAAGTACACCAGGCAAATTGATTTTTAGTCAAAAGTAATTTTTAAAAAATCGCATTTTTACGTGATTCAGAAGACATAAACTATTATAATAAATTTGAATTGAGTTAAAATAATGTAACTGTTATTTATTTAAATTTTTCATTTTATTAAGATTAATTTCTAATTTTTAGTTGTAGACTTTACTCCAGAAGCATCCTCAGCGGTCCTCAGTTTAATGCGAAATAGTTTTTCTAGTTTTCATAGAGTAGACTCTTATATTTCAAACAAAGTTTCGCAAACTTGCTCCAAATTATAAATGGTGAAATTATATTTATTTTTAATAGTGCTTTCAAAATAATTTATTAAAAAATATTTTTTATCCAATATTCATGAAGGAAATTTGGTGCAAATTTAAAAATTCGGTTTCAATCACAATTCATCTGAAAATGACAGCAGATGAACTTTATAACAAATTTCAAACATATTTGTAATCATGTAAGAAGTCTATATTCGCCTTTACCGAATTTTATACACCCTTCACCATAGTGTGTTTAAGAAATATTGTTATTACTTTCTTATTAAAGCATGCAAAGAAAAAAACGAACGTACAACCCAAGGTATATTAATTTTATAAGGTAGTGTCATCGGCGAATTCTGAATACCAAGCGAATTGGTTATATTTTTTTTGTATGTAATTTGACATTGTGCCTGCACTTGAAGGCGAATTGACTGTAAGGGAAAAATTTCAAAAGCAGCTGACAAATAAATCAAAGAGAATTTAAATTAAACAAAAAATTTTTATAAATTAGAATCTGTTTATAATTTATTTTGATGTTTTAACTTTTAAAGATAAAAAACACAAAAATATACCCTAATTACACAATTTCACTTTAATCACAAAATTCACATATACAAAATGAAACCAGTTTGACATTAACAAAATGAAAACAAAGTTTGACATTTACAAAATGTAAACAAAGTTTGACATTAATTATACACCACGGCGAAAAATGAACATAATAGCAAAAAACGACCAGCTGTTCTGATAACACTACCTTATAATTAATATATCTTGGTACAACCAGTGGTTGTTAACCACACGTACGCATTCTCAATAAAAAACAAGTAAGAAAGTATAGTCGGGCGTGGCCGACCATATGATACCCTACACCAGTTATGAATATTAAATGTGATTTATTTTTCATAATAAAACATTTATCTTCAATATTCCCTTGTTCCGATACACTTAAGCAATTTATGGATGAAAAACTAATTTTCTGAAAGAGGCTTTATATGGGGGCTAGGGGCAAATATGGCCAAGCCCGATAAAATTTTGTGAATATATTTATATTTACATAATATTTTATTGTGCTGAATTTCATCGCGATATTTGTGTTTATAAGTCAATTTGGGATATTCAAGTAATTTTCTGAAGGGGACTTTGTATGGGAGCTAGGGTCAAATGGGGCCCGATCTTTATGAAATTTGGCAGGGTCATCAAAACTTCTATAAAACTTAGTTGTGCCGTATTTTATCGATATATCTGTATATTTAACATAATTATGAGCTCAGAAGCCCTTTTCGGGGGGTTCTGTTCTATGGGGGCTAGGTAAAATAATGGACCGATTTTAACCATTTTCAATAGGATTCGTCCTTGGGTCAAATAAAACGTGCGTGCCAAATTTCATCCAATTATCTTGAAAATTGCGACCTGTACCTTGCGCAAAAGGTTTACATGGACAGCCAGCCAGCCAGACGGACGGACGGACATAGCTTAATCGACTTAGAAAGCGATTCTAAGCCGATTGGTATACTTTAAGGTGGGTCTAGGACGAATATTTTTGTATGTTACAAACATCAGCACAAATCCAATATACCCTCCCCACTAAAGTGGTGTAGGGTATAAATACACAAAATTATGAAACCAACCCCCATTCAAACAAACGTTTTTTTTTTCCAATATAATAATGTTGTTGGTTTTTTTTAAAGCATGCACTAACATCCTCTATTTTAAATGAAATTTTCAGAGATTGTCTTAGATTTTTGCTCATATCTCCGAAATTTATGAACGGATTTTAAATCTCGAAAGCATGTCTGACAGAATTATTGAAGATTTGGATCCTGAAGATATCTGGGGTCATCAGAAAATTACGCACAAGAAGAAAACAAACAGGGGATTTTTGGCAAACTTTTTTCAGAGTTGCACAGAATGGTACTTTTTTGTGTATACACGTGGAAAAGTACATAAAAAATGTAAACAAAGCAAAAAATACATAAAAAACGTAAACAAAAAGAAAACAAACCATAACAAACTCATTGATTTATTTGTGAAATATTGAAATATGGTAATAAAATTTAAAATCCTTTTTGAGCACTAAATCTGAAATATGTTATTGATAGGGAATCGAAAAACGAATAGATCACTGTATTAATTATTCTTCGGAGTACTTTCTATTAGATGCTGTGATTTAACAAACTTTAAAGAAATTACAAATTTAACAAAAAAGAGTTTATGCTTAAAAAAATTAAAAATATTCTTTCAGCAATAAAGCAGTCAATAGTGCCCGCTGGGGAATCGATAGACTAATTGATTCCCATATTGATTTCATTTATGGGTACTTCTTATTAGCCAGTGTAACTTAACAAACTTTGACAAAGTCGCAAATTTAACAAAAATGTTTTTATACTAAAAAATATTTAAATATTTTTTGAGCAGCAAAACTAAAATATGTGATCGATAAAGAATCAATAGACGAATCGAACCGCGTATTGATTTTCTTTCTGAGTACTTGCTATTAGCCGGTGTCACGTAACAATCTTTGACAAAGTCGCCAATTTTATGAAATATAATAATGTTGTTGGTTTTTTTTAAAGCATGCACTAACATCCTCTATTTTAAATGAAATTTTCAGAGATTGTCTTAGATTTTTGCTCATATCTCCGAAATTTATGAACGGATTTTAAATCTCGAAAGCATGTCTGACAGAATTATTGAAGATTTGGATCCTGAAGATATCTGGGGTCATCAGAAAATTACGCACAAGAAGAAAACAAACAGGGGATTTTTGGCAAACTTTTTTCAGAGTTGCACAGAATGGTACTTTTTTGTGTATACACGTGGAAAAGTACATAAAAAATGTAAACAAAGCAAAAAATACATAAAAAACGTAAACAAAAGAAAACAAACCATAACAAACTCATTGATTTATTTGTGAAATATTGAAATATGGTAATAAAATTTAAAATCCTTTTTGAGCACTAAATCTGAAATATGTTATTGATAGGGAATCGAAAAACGAATAGATCACTGTATTAATTATTCTTCGGAGTACTTTCTATTAGATGCTGTGATTTAACAAACTTTAAAGAAATTACAAATTTAACAAAAAAGAGTTTATGCTTAAAAAAATTAAAAATATTCTTTCAGCAATAAAGCAGTCAATAGTGCCCGCTGGGGAATCGATAGACTAATTGATTCCCATATTGATTTCATTTATGGGTACTTCTTATTAGCCAGTGTAACTTAACAAACTTTGACAAAGTCGCAAATTTAACAAAAATGTTTTTATACTAAAAAATATTTAAATATTTTTTGAGCAGCAAAACTAAAATATGTGATCGATAAAGAATCAATAGACGAATCGAACCGCGTATTGATTTTCTTTCTGAGTACTTGCTATTAGCCGGTGTCACGTAACAATCTTTGACAAAGTCGCCAATTTTATGAAATAGTTTTTTTACTAAAAAATTTGAAAATATTCATTGAGCAGCAAAACTAAAATATGTGATCGATAGAGAATCAAGAGACGAATGGATCTCCATATTGATTTCATTTCCGGGTACTTGCTGTAAGACGGTGTAACGCAACAAAATTTGTAAATTCGCAAATTTAACCCAAAAGTTTTTATACTGAAAAATTTTAATATATTCTTTGAGCAGCAAAACTAAAATATGTGATCGATAGGGAATCAATAGACGAATCGCACCCCATATTGATTTTTTTCTGAGTACTTGCTATAAGACGGTATAACGTAACAAACTTTGACAAATTCGCAAATTTAACCCAAAAGTTTTTATTGAAAAAGTCGCCAATTTTATGAAAAAGTTTGTATACAAAAAAATTTTTAAATATTCCTTGAGCAGCAAAACTAGAATATGTGATCGATAGGGAATCAATAGACGAATCGCACCCCATATTGATTTTTTTCTGAGTACTTGCTATAAGACGGTATAACGTAACAAACTTTGACAAATTCGCAAATTTAACCCAAAAGTTTTTATACTAAAAAATTTTAAAATATTCTTTGAGCAACAAAACCAAAATATGTGATCGATAGGGAATCAATAGACAAATTGAACCATATATAGATTTTTTTCCTGAGTACTTGCTACAAGACGATATAACGTAACAAACTTTGAAAAATTAGCAAATTTTATGAAAAAGTTTTTATACCAAAAAATTTTAAAATATTTATTGAGCAACAAAACTAAAATATGTGATCGATAGGGAATCAATAGACAAATCAAACCATATATAGATTTTTTTCCTGAATACTTGCTACAAGACGATATAACGTAACAAACTTTGAAAAATTCGCAAATTTTATGAAAAAGTTTTTATATTAAAAAATTTTAAAATATTCTTTGAGCAGCAAAACCAAAATATGTGATCGATAGGGCATCAATAGACGAACTAAACCCCATATTTATTTTTTTTTCTGAGTACTTGCTATAAGACGCTATAACGTAACAAACTTTGAC